GAGTTAGAAAATCGAGGAGTTGACTATGGGAAGCAAAATAAACGACAGAAATTGATAGAAGTGTTGGATGAAGAATTGAGACATGAAACATTAGCAAGTATAGAAGGTAATATATGTGTACTTGATATTTTTTGCTTAATTTCAATGAAACTAAAGATAAAATTTACTTACACAATTTTAGGCTCACATTTGAGGAACCCAAGTATGTCTAATAAAGAAGAAGAAATAAGGTAAGTTTAGATGGAAAAATTTTTTAGCTTCAAAAGAGATAAATGGAATTAAATAATTTATATACCACAGACAATTGGAAGCATCTGAATTTCCATTAATAATTGGCTGGGCATTGAAGGAAGTTCAAAAATATGGTAAAAAGGGTTGTGGTAAACGTATGAAAAAAAGTATTGTACTTACTTTAGAACAGTGCTTTTTGGCTGGAAATATTGATAAGAGCTGTCGGATGAATGCACAAGAGATGTTAGATTTTTTGAAACTAAAAGTAGAAGAAGGAGAAATTGAAATCTCAGATTTACCAAAACTATCAACTATACAAGGATGGATAACCCGATATACAGCACAGTTGCGTGAAAGAAGTGCCCAGATAAAACTTGGAGTTGAAAGTTAAAATTATTAATGATAAGTTTTTTTTGTTTGATATAATAATACTAATCATTATGACTGTAATATAATTTTTCCATACTTCAATTTCATTTTTATTTTCATCAATAATTAATTATCTCTAATTCTCTCTGTTAATGCAAAATAATATTATAATTATTAAAATCATTAGTAATTATTAAAAACTAAATAGAAATAACATATTTATATTTTTCTTCGATAAAATTAATTCTACAACCATTTTTATATCATAAATTTTTTTAATTGCTTAAATCTTTATTCCAAACCTTAAATTTTATATGATAATTTTAGGCGGGAATCCAGCGATTCCTACATATAAACATAAAATATTCTATAAGAAAGTCCTTTTGAAAATTTGTATATTTAAACTTTGAGATTCATATATTGTGTTAAAAGTAGCATGGTGGAAGTTTGATTTTATTGGATAAAAAATGTGACCAGTGTTGGAAATTCTTCATCCAACACTTCTATCAATTTCTGTCGTTTATTTTGCTTCCCATAGTCAACTCCTCGATTTTCTAACTC